GGGTGTATGCCCAGCAGTGAACTCTCCAGGTCAGAGGACAGGTATGTTTTTGTCACTTGATTGGCATAATTGCAAATTGCTTTCCTGAGTGGTTGTACTAATTCACTGCTCCAGCAAAAAGCATTAGTGTGCCTGTTTTCCCACTTTTGGTTATCTTTTCTTCTTGTAGGATTGTTTCCCTTTATCAGCTCATGTATAGTCTTAAGTTTTAGCATTCCTGATGCTAATGTGGGACAGTGTGGCCCTTTTGTATTAACCTTCTGTTACCTATCCTTGTTTTTATCTTCCATAGAGGCTTTTCATGTTGGTGGGGAGTCCCTTGTATCTACCTTGGTCTCTTTAGACAACTCTCCTTTTTCCTTCCTCTTGGAATTTCTTTAGGTCTCTTAAGAATTTCAGTTCTGAGAGTTTCCCAGCACTCCTGAGCTGACTTCTGTACAGAATTTTAGGCCATGAATTCCTATCTAACCCTTCTCTGTAATCTTTCAGATCAGTTAGCCTTAAATTTGGAGTACGTGTTAATTCATGCCTACCTTTTTTTCTATCACAAGTTCCAGGAATGGTAACATTGGATTCCTTTCCCCAGAAACCAATTTTTTCTTTTTTATAAGATCAGATCCAGAATAGAATTTCCCCTTGTCTGTTCTTTCATCTTTTAAAGTATGAAATTGTTAATTAGGCAAATAAAGGAATTATTGTTGCAGGCATTGTTTATTGATATCTCTGTGTGGAAATGATGATGATTAACATCCAGAAGATAAGTAATCATGTCTATAAATGTTAATAAATATTTTAAATGGAGAAACTCGAGTGAATAAACATCGGCACAAAAGGTGACATGACCCTGCTAGAAATTGCTAGAAATAGTCATGATAAATAGGGGAAGTCATTGGACTGGAAAGTGAGAAGTCGTCCTGGGTCATTGTGGCCACAACAATGTGGGATTCTGAATGCAAGATCGGAAGTTAGTTAAGCTTTCAGGGATGCATCTGAATTTAAGAAAGCGTGTCCAGTCTTTCTTCTCCTGCCCTATTGGATAACAAGGTTTCTTTTCTTTCTGACTCACCTGCCTCCTGGTTCAGCATGGAAGAAAAATCCAGGTCAGGTCTCTGCCTCTTCAGGCTTCCTGCATAGGGAGGCAGCTCATCAATCAGATTTTATGGCTGAAGAGTGAGTCTCGTTCTTTCCCTGCTGCTGTAATAGGATTATCTCTGAAAGAAGGATGTGCAGGAGAAGAATCAATTTTTCTTCTGATCTTCATCTCTAAGTCTCCTTTGCTAGGAAATAATATCAAAGGTTCTTTGGCCTTAGCTTTTCCTATTTAAACTGAATTTGAGTCTATTAACCCTTCCTTCACACTCTAGTTTCCTTTTCCTATTTGTATAGATGAAATTTATAGCAATTAAAATTTTTGTAAAAACTCTGAAGGCAAATTAACCAAAAGAAATCTGAGCTTACCTTTATGCATGTAGTGATGTTTTGTTATGCTAAGTCAGCTAAGGCATGATTCCTGTCTACATTTTGCTCCCTTCCCTGTAACAAATACAGTTTTTAAGAATCTTTGGAGGAGGCTAGGTAGCACAATGGATAGAGCACTGGCCCTGGAGTCAAGAGAACCTGAGTTCAAATCTGACCTCAGCCACTTGACACTTACTAGCTGTGTGATCCTGGGCAAGTCACTTAACCCCAATTGCCTCACCAAAAAAAAAAAAAATCTTTGGGAAAGTGAATGAGAAATATTCTGTTAACTGAGTCAGAAGAAGAATCTTATAAATCCACAATTGATTAAACAGGCCCCTGTGCAAGTGGTGAATATTAATGATTAGAATGGATTACTGCTTTTAAGGCACTTTAGGATAATGGAGAGACAGAATGGACAAAGGTACCTCACTTTATATGATAGATATGTTCCTGAAGAGTTGGACATGCAAAATTTTGGTAAATAATTTAAATATACTGGGGAAATTCACTATTTAAAGGAACCCTGGAATAAATCATTTTATGAAGCAAAGGTAATTTTTGTTAATGACAATTCTCTCCCCCCCCCATTTAGATTTTCTTATAGTTAAGCCTGACCTGACTGGTTAGGAGTCAGGCCATAAGTGAGGCAGTGTTGTTCACTTGGTGGTAGTGTCACTTAGGTCACACAGATGCAATGACAGAGAACAGATAGCCAAAATAGCACAATCTTTGCGATTTGGGGACTGAAGGTAAGGAGTGGGAGGATCGTTCTTTTGTGCTGGTGGATTGGTAGGTGTGTTGAGGTAATTGAAAAAGGATTTCATTGTAGATTTAGAGTTGGAAGATTCTTGGAGGTCATTAAGTCCAGCCTCTCACTTTATAGATGAGGAAACTGAGGCACTGAGAAATTGAGTGATTTGTCCAGGGCCACACAGTTAGTGAAATGTCTGAGGCAGGATTTTGACTCCAAGACCAGTGTCCTCTGTATCAGTGTATGAAACTCACCTGGGAAGGAGGGCCCCTAAACTGAACATAAGGACCCCTGAGTGCTGTATGACATTATCGGTATCCTATTGTATTGTTATTTCTTCTGTCCCAGTGACATTTTAATCTGGTTCAGGCACATACTTAGGAGTGGAATCTTTGATATTTCTACTATATGCTGTGCTATGCTTCTGGGAATATTGGGGATGGGCTGGGGGGCTAGCTAGAGATAAAAGCAAGTAGGGTGGTGTTAGCTTTGGAGAACTTGGGGGGTCATGGTTAAATTTATCCTTGATTTGGAGGGGAGCAGAGCAACATTTCTAGAGTCAGGCGGCTTTAGAGTCAGGAATCCCTCTCTCCTCTGTGTTCTATCTTTACCTTTTAAATTAGATACACTTTCTCCTCTTTCCTTCTTGTTTTAATAAGATAATAAGCAAAAACTGCCTTTTAAATAGCTGAACATATGCTTCATTAACTGTGTACTCTGCACTTGGCTTAATTTCCAATTAGCCTTTGTTAATAGAGGAATTTAATTGCTCATCCTCTTTAGCATCCAGTACTTTTCTGCCCTTCCACTGCCCTCTTGGATTTCCCAGGCCTCCGTCTTTTGCCTACAAAGAGTGTTCCTACCAAAAGTACCTCGGGTGCTTTGGACACAAAAGAGGTTTAGTCTGATAGAAATGGTAGAGACTCTACTTATTTTGCCGTTTTATGATGGTCCTGTTAGTAGGTTTGTTTTGGATGGCTGGTAACCCAGACCATGTCTTAGTGGTGATTGAGTCAGTGATGACCCAAAGCAGGGATTCAGTCCTCCAGTGGCTGACTTGGGGTCTTGTAACCATAGCTTGATCTGACTTTTCCTTCTGCGTGAAGTGGAAGAATTTCTCTTGCTGGTAAACCACAGTGGGGAGAGGAGGGAAGTCAGCTCATGGAACGGCTTTGAAGACTTTTTCCGTAGTTTGTGCCGTTCTTCTGATAGATTTCACCGTACTCTTTCCACAAAGGTATGGCACCTTCCAGTGGATGTATTGTACCAACAGTCAGAAAACTTCCTGTGATAAGTAGAGCCTTAGTCCCAGATGCTACCATCTGACAGAGGGGCTAGAGGCCTTCTCTATTTTGTTCAGATCTCATCTTTTACTAAATGATGCTGACATTTTCAGTTTGCCATCTTTTCAGATCACCAGATGGCGACGATAGCATTCTATTTGTGGGATTATTGTTCTGTCTCTAGTAATGATATTGGCTAGATAGACTGTGTATAATATCTAAACTGGCATAAGTGCAAAAAGGTATTCAAATTACATGTCTTCTTTGTAAATTCTGAAGCTTAGGTATTCTACAAATTACCTAGTTAATATTGTTATTAATGCTTATAATCCAAGTATTTTGCATTTTTTCTTCCTTAATTAAGTTAATCTGTCAACCTGACTGGTTAGTGATTTTAGCAAAGGATTGAATTGAGAATTCATTTAATACACATGAAGAAATTTAAAATAGAGTCTTCTACGAATTTAAGAGGTGCAAGGCACCAAAGAGGCAATGATTTAGATCATCTCTTAACTCTGATGGAGGAAAAAAAGATGTATAAATAGCTCATAAAAGAAGCAGCTTGATGTGCAATGGATAGAGTGCTGCAACTGGAGTCAGGAAGACCTCAGTTCAGATTCTGCCTCATGTACTTCCTGACTCTAACCCTGGGCAAGCCACTTAACCGCTATTTGCCTCAGTTTCCTCATCTGTAAAAGGGAGATAATAGCAGCTATTATTTCACTGGGTTATTGTGAGGATCAAGTGAGATCACACAGGTAAAGCGATTTTCAAGCCTCAAAAAGCCATATAAACACTAGCTGTTTTTATTAGAGGCTATAATAAGTGTAAGGCAAAGACCCAGAGTGCTAGGAGGAATTCTAAGAGGGAAAAATCATTTCAGCTTTGGGGGAGGAAGCAGCATCTGAGTTAGGCCTCAGAGCAAAGGGCTTGACTTTGAGCATAGGTGGTTGGGGGTCAACCAAGACAGAGGTGGGAGGTAGGGTGAGCGTGGTCCTCTTGGCTTGAAGGTCAAGGAAAGAGGGAGTATGAAAAGTTAATGGGGTTTAAAAGGACGCGATCGATGAACCCTGTCAGTTACATGGGAGTGAATAGTGGTCAGAGTCCCTATCTTTGAATTGTAGTGCATTTTTTATCAACATATGCACTGTTATCTTTCTGACCATATGAAAGAGAATTTTTGTTAGCAACCTTGAATTCACTTAAAAGTGTTAATCTTCTAGTATTCTGTGCTGGGCTTTCGATTATTTTGATGCTAGATTGCCTGGCTGCAAGGAAGCTTTTTTCAGATGATAGCTGTACTCACTGTTCCTGTCAAGTGTACATAATAGCCATGATTTATCATGACTTTGGTGTAATTTGCTGATTGTTTCTTCCTGCTTAGGTGGAATGTTCAGTTAAAGTTAGGGGTCACGATCTACACCGTATTCTGCCAGCTTGATAGACAGTGCCTGAGCTGCACTCTCCCTAGTGACCCAGAGCTCTTTGTCTATTTTTTTTTCTAGGTGGTTGCTAATGCTGTGGCAGCCTTGTCAGAAATCAGTGAGTCTCATCCAAATAGCAACCTGCTTGATTTGAACCCTCAGAACATTAATAAGCTGTTAACAGCCCTGAATGAGTGCACCGAATGGGGCCAGATCTTCATCTTGGATTGCCTGTCCAATTACAACCCCAAGGATGATCGGGAGGCTCAGAGGTGAGTCTCCTGACCCAGAGCATAGTGGGGGAAATATTCCCTTCTAAGCATGGGACTCATGAATTTGTCTCAGTGTCTGTAAGTAAGACCTCATTACTCTGATGAAGCTGTGAAAGTGCAACTTAATGGTCATTAAATTCCAGTGGCCCTGGTAAGACAGATCTTATCCCCAGAATTTTATCTCTGGATTTAGGGAAATTTAGATATTGCTAGTTATTAGAATGTTCCAGACAAAAGAGTTCTCCAGAGGCTTGTGCTGGGTACAACAGCCCAGTTGACCTCTGCTGGAAGTTCAGGGGCTTGTTTATAGATGAAAAACGAACTGAGGCCAGGGAGCTTGTGGCCGGTGGTGTCAGAGAAAGGAATTGAATCCTGGCACAGCCTCCAGAGCTACTATACCACATTGCCATCACCATCTCCTTGTCTTGCTCATTTCATTTCTGATCTTCTGGGCGACTTGAGATCCTCTCTGACAGTGTGACTGCCTGTTTGTGGTGTGTCTTCCCATCTTCTAGGCTAAGTCCATCGTTGGTCTTTAATTAGACCTGAAAGATCCAACATTCTGGGTCCTAGACAAGTACCTCCGCCTTTAGGGGTATGAGTGAGCAGAAAATGTGTTGTTTTCTTATCAGCCACAGATATCCATGGCTCTGAGTTAGACCTGGAGATGTTCTGTGTCTTTAAGAGCTAACCATGGGTTGGGACTAGCAGATGTTGCTAAACCAGCTTTCCAGGCCACTTTGTGGATGCAGATCCTCTTGGCTGTCAGAGCTGGACAAGGACATCTTATTTCTCTTTAGGTGTGTGTGTAGCCTGACATGAAACCCATGTTTGTAGAACTTGCCGTTCAGCTTGTATTCTCCAGCGTCTTCTGTCTTCATGCCCCTGTGTGCTAGCTCTTCTCCTAAGTTCAAAGATGACAGCATTTAATAGACTTGATCACCCGCTGCAGAAGCCAATTGAGTCTCCAACTAACACAGTATCACTGCTCTCACTGGCTGGAAAGTTGTTTTCTGGGCTAGACTTGAGGGAAGTCTAGTGGTATAGCTGGGGTCCTGCTAGCTCTTTGGTTTTACCATTGAAATAGCATGTGATACCTCCTGGGAAAAATAAAGCTATAATTTCCAATTTCCTCATGACCTCTAAGGTTCTATCACATCACCCCTTTGTGTTGTGCCCTGAGCTGTAGCAGGGTTGGGAAGCTGACTTGGGTCCCTGTAAATCATGCTAATTTTTGCAGAACCTTCAGCGGGGAGTTGATTCTAGATTTCTTTGGCATTATCTAAGGCAGGTTCCCCACCTTGATCTAAGGAAATCTGAAAGGTGGGGGTGGGGTGTGTGTGTGTGTGTGTGTGTGTGTGTGTGTGTGTGTGTGTGTGTG